GCTGGAGAAGTACCAGGGCCTGAAGGAGGAACTAGAGAGGATGTGGAAAGGCCAAAGTGGTCCCAGTAGTAGTAGGAGCACTTGGGGCTGTGATTCCTAAGCTGGGAGAGTGACTCCAATAGATCCCAGGAACAACATCAGACCTCTCTATCTGAAAGAGTTAAGTGCAGTGCTAGAAACAGCTAAGATACTGCACAGAACCCTCAAACTCCCAGGCCTCTGGTATAGGACCTGAGATTGAAGAAGACACATACCACCCATGAGAGTGGATGGATGGATGGACAGAGACAGACAGACAATGATTTTTTTCAATGTGGTAAAAATATACAGAACAAAAATAAAATAAGAAATAGAAAAAAAAGAAAGAAAAAGAAGAAAAAACATACAATTATTCTTTCTGCCCTTCCTTCTATTGAGTAATTATCATCTTATACTTTTTCCCAACCTCTTTGTCCTTTTTAATCCCCAAATCCTGAAATCATCAATTCAATTTCTCCTTTCAACAAATAGTCCATATAAAGTTTTCAGTCTTTCAGAAAAGTCTTTATCATTTTTTCTTTCACCAAACTGGTCACCTTCACCATTTCTGCAAGTTTCAGTTAATTTTATAAACCAATCTCCAACCTGATCCTTTCAATAGTGCACCCACTGCCACTGTAACTGAGTCCATCCACCTTGCTGCTGGTCTTCCTCTTTTCTGTTTCCTTTCATCTTTCCCAATATTACAGACTTCTACAGAGGTCTTCTCATAATGTCCAAAATATGATAATCTGAGCCTGGTCATTTGTGCCTTGAATGAGAACTCTGGATTGATTTATTTTATGATCCATTTGTTTGTTTTGTGATTGATTTGTTAACATTGAGCAACTGTTAATACTAAGTTTTATGAACTTTATACAGATTTTATACAGATTTTATCAGAAGGATATTACTGTATGTTATTGTTATTGATGGTGTTTTGGGACACTGCACTGAGTCTTCTGAGAGGGTGGCATAGAAATGTGAAGAGAGAGAGAGCGAGCGAGCGAGCGAGCATGCAGCAAGAGCAATCTAAGGAGAAACAAGTAAGACATCACGAAATGTTACAGAAATACAAGAAGAAGAAACATAAAATCTGATAGTGTACTGACAAACCATATTTTTTGGGTAACAAGGATGAAAAGTGAGGTGACACTATCTCCCAGGAGCAGGACTGCTCTAAAGAAATAATATTTAACACTCTAAATTAGGCCACAAATAATGTTTTATGGTCTGAATGTCCCAAAATGGGAATATTCCTAAACATTTGAGATTGTACAAATTGACTTTTCAATCTCAAATCTTTTCAATCTTTGTACAAATTGTACAAATTGTACAAATTGACTTTTCAATCTCAAATCTTTTCAATCTCTGTCACTATTGTACAATAAATAAAACAAGACTATGTACAAATTGACTTTTCATAGTCTTGTTTTATTTATTGTACAATAGTGACAGAGAAAGACACAGTTACAATTGTCTCATACGAGTGCATATTTTTGGAGTAGGAAGCAAAATGCCCTGAATGTTGTTTGTTTTGAATGCTTGAAGCTATTCACAGCAATAGAGATGGAGATGGAGATGGAGATAGTTTTCTCTATAATGTGAGACCAATGGTGGTCTCAAAAGAAAACAGCCACAAATAAAAATAATCCTTGTTTAGAAAAAAGTAATGTAGTAACAAATAAAAAAAGAAAAACACAAAAAGGAATGGTATAGAGAGCTAGAGACACACTTATTTGATCCTTTTTCTCTGTAACTGCCCAGTATTCACCAATAACCGTTCTTCATGTAAGGGTGCCCCAACAACTATAGATTATATCTAAATTATGCAATGTCTGCTCCTCCCCATTTGTGAGGCCCAAGAAGGGCTGCCCAGTGGCACACTACATTCCATTACAACAAGTGAAAAGGAAGGAATCCATGAATCTGCACCCACTGTAAGAAGAATCTCTTTGGTTAGAGAGTCCCAGGCTTTAGCTTTGCCTGTCAGTCAGGCTTTTGCCTTATTGAAAGATCAAACTCCATCCTGCCTGTTCATTACCTTAATCCTATTTTCTACATAGCTTTATTATCTGTGGAAGCTTCCTTGGGAAAGGCAGAAAAGGTGACATAGCCACTCCCTATTTGCTCCTAACAGTTGTTGTTCTATGTGCAGTAACCCAGAAAAAGTTCATGGGCAAGGAGACTGGATATATGAAGTAAGCTGAACATCATCTTCTCTTAGTCTAAATGCAGTATTTAAACTAAGCCTTCTTAATGCAAAGAAACCATGTTATTACTCTATAGCATGGCATTATAATAAACTAATTTCACAGGTACACTGTTCTGCAAAAAGGTTTCTGTGTACATAACAGTTCTTCAATGAATTGTTACACTCAACATCTCTCTCAGGAAATGGAGAAATCTTAAAGCATGTCATGTATTTATTTCTTATATTTAAATGGTAAAAAAACCACAATAACTTACGAAATATGACAGCAATAACCAAATATAGGGGCATATGCTACCTCTTGATATATGTAGATTCAATAGTGCCAATTGAGAAAAAGTTGGATTATTAGCTACCGAAATTATACTAACAGTTTAATAATTTGACAGGAAAGAAAGAAAAGGAAGACAAGCCAACTGTTAGATACTACAGCAGAATAGACAAAAGACATGCACACACACACACTGCCAATGACTAGGGAAATGAGACACAAGGGATGGAAAAGGTTACTATTATATATTATCTCTAGTATTAAAGTCAGTATGCCTTTCAGTACCATTAGCTGGGGAATTCTGAGCAAAAGGATGCTGTTTCAATCACATCTTGCATGTGGGCAGAGTGCTGAACTAAGTAAGTTTTTAGCATAATGTACAGCAATACAAATTGCTTTTTTCAGAAAAATCAAAGCAAGAAAAATCAAAATTGGACATGTTTACAGAGGTGCACACTAACATATTACCAGAGATTGGAGAGAAAAAAATCAAATCTCTTCAAAACTATATACTGTAGAATCTGTATACAAGAAAACATTATGTATATTCTCTCACAGAGAAACCAACTATTATCAATTGTGCCAATATATCAGCTAGGAAATAATTTCTCACCTGGGAGATTCCCTTCTGATGGCATCACTGGGCAGCATGCTTATTTCAATTCATCTCAGCTGGTCTCATCTTTTATTCTGCACAAGGGGCAATAGGGATGTGTGTATGAGGACTAAGGGTGAGTATGTGTTAAGAGAAATTGGTCCAATTAACTTTCTTGCCTCATCTTTAGAGGCATACATGGCCCTTGCGGCATTTCTCACTAGCTGGAACACTATCCTGATAGGGTGTGCCTGACCACAGCTGTCCGTACACTGATAAAATTTAAACTATTGTAATGCACAAAGGGGCTACCTTTGAATAAGATTGAAAAACTACAGGTAGTACCCCAATAGAACAAAATTCACAAATGTTTTAATTCACTTGGAATAGGCATACAGTGCATCATCATACTACATTAAACAGCTACCTTGTCTTCTGATCTGTTTCCCAACATATTCAAAGTACTGTTTTCAACCAAAAGCTCAGAAATCAGACTACTGCTATAGACCAGTCTGGACATTAAGATCAGTGCCTGAAGACCTGTAATTAGAGACAGGGCCTTTTTATCTATGGCTCCCAGTTGTGGAATTCTCTTCTCACAAAAGTTTACCTTAAACCATAATTCTTTCATTTATAAAAGTCTTTTGATCCACCTAAGAGTTCAGCTTTTAATTTGCTTTAATTAAGATTATATTGGAATGTGATAACATTAGATTTCTATTTAAGGTTATAGAATCAAAGGAGAAGTATTTAGCGGCAGCAGCAAAAACAGATCCAGAATTAGCTTGATTTCACTCTAGCATGAAAGAAAATATCAAATAAGGTTAAAAGTCCTTCCTTGCCATCAGAACAAACAGGAAATCAGTTTAAGTTACCAAAATGCATATGGAATAATCGAGCAATGAGAGAATATCCCTAATTCAAGATTTAGAACCAAATTCAATGGTTAAATAATAATTCAAAGTCATTTAGAAGAACTAAATGAATTCATTAGTTCCTATTCACGCCAAAAGCTTAGGAGATTCTTACCTCTCTAAGTCCCAAATTCTCAAAGGTGAATTATGTCCACAGCATGCTGTTCCAGTCACAAATGAACTGTCAAAGAAGAAAACAAGTAATATTAGATTTGTATCACTATTAAATGTCTGTGCTATAAGTAAATGAATATACAGAAGACTTTTGTGAAATGCAGTGCATAGAGCTTCCATGCCCTGACAATCCAACAGACAAAAGAATAGTACAAATCTCAAGCAGTCCATGTCAAGTCATTGAAGTAGGACAACCATCTGCAATTTGCATAATCCTCCATGCTAGTTGAGTTTATTGGATTAAAGTCCAATATCACTGGAGGGCACCACATTGGGGAGACCTGGAGTAGGAAATATGGGAAATTGTTCTTTTAATACCAGTTCTGGTACATAGAACAATAAAATTATAAAACAGTAATATAGGCAAAATGCCATAATAATCATATGACTTCCATTCCCTAAAACAGGGGACGCATTTTTCAACAAACGATTTAAAGATTATTCACTGGGTAGCCAAACACATACTTGAATCATCCTTATGTCTGTAACATTGCCGGTACTGGTTCATATTGCTTAGTTACGAAGAGTTACATAGAAATACAGCTAAAGCTTGGACTGGAACGATCAAATGCAATGTTGCACTTTGTTTAAGCTCTCTAAATTTAATCCATTAGTACAACTGATCTTTTTCTTTTCCAGTTTAAAAAACTTTATTCAAGAATAATACAACATATACAGATATACAAATATATATATATATATATATATATATATATTCTATTTCTGTTCTTTTAAGTTATATTAATGTGTCTTCTATTATTATTATTATTATTATTATTATTATTATTATTATTATTATCTATTATTAAATAAGTAATATTATAAAGTAATATT